TACCGTTAACTAATGACAATTTTAAAACAGCACTTAAAATTTTAGAGGAAAGATACTCTAATAAAGTTTCAGTAATAAATTCACATATAAAAAATCTTTTAGAAATTCCTTCTCTTGCAAAATGCAATACACACACATTGAGAGATTTTATTACAAAAACGAGACAAGACATTGAATCACTAAAAAATTTAGGTGTTCCGGTGGAGCACTGGGATTTACTTCTTATCTATTTCTTTCAACAGAAACTTGATTATAATACTCGCAAGGCCTTTGAAACAGAAAAGAATCCGAAAGAGTTACCCACACTAGCACAATTTTATACATTTTTAGAGAAAAAATGTTTAGTTCTAGAAAATTTGTCAGTTAATGACACAAACGCACACTGTCAAAATTCTCAAAGGACTACAAGAACGGCATTTCATAGCAACGCAGTACATAGTTTGAAATCTAATTCCCAATTCTTTAACAATTGCTTATATTGCAAACAACAGGATCACAAAATTTATAACTGCACAAGGTTTAAAGAAATATCACACGCTGAAAAGGTAAAGTTTATAAAATCAAATAAACTTTGTTTTAATTGTTTGGGTACAAAACACATCACAATAAATTGCATTGCACGAGGTTGTCGCATTTGTTCAAAAAGACACCATTCAACACTACATATTCCCCAAAATCCCCAAAATTCTCAGTTATATGTTGCACAAAGTAGTCAAAACGCAAATAATCCTTTACCTCACACAAGTAATGTAAATCTCAATCACTCTCAGGACACTGTTAGAGATTCTCGCACATTTGATGTATACACACACAATAGTAATAGAAATAATACTCCTCATATTCACAATGAAAGTTCTACTCACTCACGCACAGTTGATTCACTTACACAAAATGATATCAATAATCCTTGTTCCTCAAGATGTTTAGACAATACTCAAACAGTGTCAGCTTTTTCTACAAAAAACTCCCAGATACTTCTAGCCACACCACTTGTAACACTATATTCTTCAAATAACGAGCCAATACAAGCACGAGCATTATTAGATGGAGGTAGTCAAACCTCATTTATTACAGAAAAATTAGTCACAGATCTTAAGTACAAACCATATACAAAAAACTTCTGAAAATTTCTGGAATTTGTGATAACAGTACAATTTTTAATAAAATGGTAAATCTCATTATTTACTCAAATGTGGAGAAACATGTAAGTTTTCCTGCATCTTGTGCAATTTTAAAAAATATTACTCATAAATTACCTCAATCTCCAATCAAAGTTAAAAACTTTCATGTGCCTAATCACATAAAACTGGCTGATCCAACATACTTCAATCCTTCTGAAATAGATATGCTTATTGGAGCAGATGTTTATTACAGTATTTTATCCGATGGTATAATAAAACTCGGGAGAAATCTGCCAGATATACAAAATACGTACCTTGGTTGGGTAATAGCTGGTAATGTGCCTATTACAAGTGTAAAAGTCACATTATATTTTAAATCAAACAGAAAACAATGTTTCACTCTTTTCAAATACAGTTGATTTAGATCACAGTTTAACAAAATTTTGGGTATTAGATGAAATTAGTGAAAACCCTGTATTATGTCCAGACGATAAACTTGCCGAACTTATATTTGAAACCACATTACAAAGGTTAGAAAACGGATCATATCAGGTTAATTTGCCACTAAAAACGGAAAATGAATATGTAAAATTGGGAGATTCATTTACGATTGCACAAAAACGATTTTTTAATTTAGAAAAAAGGTTTGAAAGAAACACAAATCTATTTCAGTTGTATAAGAAGTTTATAGATGAATATATTCAGTTAGGATATGCAAAATATGTGCCTTTAGAACTTAAAATTGGACAAATTCACAATAAATACTTTTTACCACATTACTGTGTAATAAGAGAAGATAGCCTCACTACAAAACTCCGGGTAGTTTTTGACGCTTTATGTAAAAGCACGACAGGTTATTCCTTAAATGACATCATGTTAAAAGGATATCAAGTACAACCTGATTTATATGACATATTAAACAGATTTAGACTTTACAAATTTGTAATAATTGCGGATATAGAAAAGATGTATCGCCAAGTTAAAGTAAATCCTTCACAAAATTTTTTACAAAACATACTTTGACGAGATAGTCAAGTTGAACCTATAAAATGTATCGAATTACAAACTGTAACTTATGGAACTAATAGCGCGCCGTATTTGGCGACCCGAGTATTGAAAGAAATTGCCATTAAAGGCAAATCTAAATACCCATTGGCGGCTGATGCCCTGTTAAATCAGTGTTACGTAGATGATATTTTGTATGGAAGCGATAGTTTTGAAAATTTGATGATTGTTTACAATCAATTAAATGAATTACTTAATCCCTCGAATTTTAAGTTACATAAGTGGTGCTCAAACACAAGCGATTTCTTGAACAATATTTGTTCTCATAATTCACAATCCACATGCACAATAAAAATAGATAATATGTCCAGTAAGGTATTAGGAATATCTTGGAATCCAAAACTAGATTCTTTCTCTTTTATATCTCCCTATAAAACACAAGAAAGTAATTTCACTAAAAGGGAGGTTTTATCAAAGTTATCACAAATGTTTGATCCACTAGGTCTGAAAGGACCAATAGTAGTCACAGGAAAAATTATAGTGCAAAAGATTTCGATAAGAAAATAAATTGGGATGAACAATTAGATCCACAAACACTCATTCATTGGCGAAAATTTCTAACAAATATGTCAGATTTAAATAATTTCAGAGTTCCTCGATATTTATTTAGTAATTATGACATTCTCACAATTGAATTGCATGGATTTGCAGATGCTAGCATCAAAGCTTATGGACCTTGTATATATTTAAAGGTAGATAATACAATTTCTTGCAACTTAATTTCTTCAAAATCAAGAATAGCACCAATTAAAACAATATCTCTGCCAAAGCTTGAATTATGCGCCATGGTACTCCTTGCAAAATTAACAAAAAATATCGTCAATTTACCCTCCTAGGTTAAAGTTTGAATCGGTAAATTTATGGACAGATTCACAAATTTCTTTGGTTGGTCTACTTTTATAAGTAATAGAGTCTCAAATATACAAAATCTTACGATAAATCACCGGTGGCGTCACATAAAATCTCTTGATAACCCTGCAGATTGTTTATCTCGTGGAATAACACCAAGTGAACTCATAAAATCAGATATATGGTGGCATGGTCCAAAGTTTTTGCATCAAATCAATTTAAATTTACATAATTTTGATTTTATTTGCACATTAGAAAATCCTCCTGAAGAAAGAAAAACATTTTTAACAATCATTCGAAATTTGGCTTATGAATATTGGAATAACATATTTAATAGGTTCTCTTCATTTATTCGTTTGCAAAGAACAATTGCCAATGTTTTAAGATTTATTAATAACTCAAAACTGAATTCAGAAAAAATATTTGATTGTCTTACACTAGAAGAATTAAATATTTCGCTTTTTGTGATTGTGAAAATTCTGCAAGATAAATATTTTCAAAATGAAATGTCAGATCTTCAGTCTAACAAGACAATATCTAATAAAAGTATTATTTCATTAATCCTTATATTAGAGATTTTAATACTAATGAAATTGACACCATAACTTTAGACTCATTATCTGAGTGTAACGAAGTTCTTAAGATCAATAGAGGAAATATAAGTTTTAAAGTGCTTCATAATAACATAAGAAGTATAAACAAAAATATTAATGAATTTCGCTGTTACTTAGAACACCTCACGGAAATTCCTGAATGTATTATTCTAACAGAAACTAGACAATTGGACGATATACACTTATTTAATATACCAGGTTACAGTATTGTATATAACTACGGAACAATTAATCAAAATGATGGTACTATAATATACTTGAAATATGGTATTGAATTTTTACATAAGTTGATTCCTCTTGCCAATGGAAATAAATTGATTCTAGCCGAGATTCAGTTTCAGCAAAAAAATATTAATATTTTGGCTGGGTATAGATCACCTTCTACTGAGCCTTTGGAGTTTGTGCGAGATCTGAAACAATACTTTTCAAATAGCAATTTGGATAAGGCTGACTATTTTCTGTTTGTGGGTGATATAAACATTAACATACTCGAAAATGAACTAAGTGAACATGTAGGGGAATATCTGAATAATCTGTGTGAATTTAATTTTGTTTCTGCAATAAATGATTTTACGAGAGTGACAGAAAATAGTCGGTCTTGCTTAGACCATGTTTTTATTAGGACTAAATGCGATTATGAATACTTATTACCTTTTGTGATAAAAACAAAACTAACTGATCATTATACGGTACTTGTTCAAATTATTTTTGAAACTAGTAAGATTTCCAAAAAAGATATAAAAATAAATAGAAGAGTTGACTATAAAGAACTTAGCGAAGGCATGACCCAAATTAGTTATAATGAAATTTATCAAGCTAACAGTATTGAATCGGGTTTTGAGAAACTTCTATATATTATTACAAAAGAGATACAAAAATCCACTTACATTATAAGGAAATCAGAAAGGAAGCGCAAAAGTTGGATCACGCAGGGTATTATTAATTCAATAAACAAAAGGGATAAAATGTATAACCAGTTATTGGAAAGATTTGACATTAATTTAAAAAATCGATACCTAATTTATAGAAATCGTTTAAATAATGTAATTAAATCTGCTAAGATGAATTATTATAAAAATAGAATTGCGCAAAGTTCAAATAACAATAAAGCGATGTGGGAGACTGTGAAGGAATTAACTTCGTCTAAGAAAATATCAAGGGATATTCAATACGTTAATCACAATGAAGAAACTATAAAAGATAAACAAACTATGTCTGACGTATTTAATAACCATTATGTTACTGTGGGTCAAAAATTGGCAGGTAAAATTATTAATCAGCCAGAAGTCAATTCAACATCAAATTATTTTAATCATTTTGAATCCATATTTCTTAAACCAACAACATTAACTGAAATAAATAATATAATACAATCACTCAAAAGTAACAAGTCGCCTGGTGAAGATGGAGTTACAGGGGAATTATTAAAATGCATGGGTCCATTTCTGGGTGAACCTTTAATGTTCTTAATTAATAAATGCTTTGAAGAAGGATACTTTCCTAATGCATTGAAAACATCTATGGTAATACCAGTATTTAAATCTGGCGATCGTGCTGATGTTGTTAACTACCGACCAATATCGTTAATTACAACTTTATCTAAAGTCTTTGAAAAGATAATAAAAGAAAGATTATGTACCTACCTTGAGAGACATCAGGTATTATCACCAAGACAGTATGGTTTTAGAGCTGGGGTATCTACGCAAGATGCTATTCTTCATCTTACTTCCAATATATATTCGGCTATGGACGACAACAAAAAATCCCTCAGTGTATTTATAGACTTGTCAAAAGCGTTTGACACTGTAAGTCATGATCTGTTGTTAAACTGTCTGGAAAGAGTGGGTGCTAGAGGGGTGTCATTAAACTTTTTCAGGAGTTACCTCACTCATCGTTATCAGTTTGTGGCAATAAATAATTATCGTAGCGAATTAAAACGGATCACGTATGGAGTCCCTCAGGGCTCTGTATTAGGTCCTATACTGTTTAACTTATATATAAATGAGTTATTCTGTCTGCCCACTATGGGAGATATTATAGCATACGCAGACGATACATGTATTTTCTACAGTGACGATGACTGGGAAACTGTCACAAGAAAAGCTGAAAAAGATCTAGCTATAATATTTAAATGGTTTAAATCAATGTTACTTACAGTAAATTATGATAAAACACGAGTTTTACATAATTATGTTGATGTTCGTTCCTCACCCCACTGTTCAGTTTCTGGCTATTTCAGATGATATCGTAATCAATTCGGTCAGATAATTTAAGTATCTCGGTGTCATACTAGACAATCGATCACCTAAAATGGGATAAGCACATACAATATCTTTCTAATAAGGTAAGATTCTCGTTTCATAAGTTTAAAGTGTTAAGGGATATACTTGACCATGATTCTCTAATAATTATTTATAACTCATTGGTTCAATCGCACCTAATTTATGGAATTGTAGCTTGGAGAAATGTAAGTAAGAGTATATTGCGTAATCTAGAAATAGTACAAAAGACAATTATTAAAATCATGTTTAAAAAAATATCTACTTACCCTTCGGATGATCTTTTTATTGAAGCGTGTTTGATGGACCTACGGCAACTATTCTTCTATTTCCTAACTATACATCAACACAAAAATAAAAGTCAATTAATAGTCAGCGAACATAAATATGAAACAAGAAACAAAGGTAAAATGTTTGTAACTCAAAGAAAGAATAAAAGCATAGGACAAAAAAGTCATACTTACCTTGGTCCGAGGTTATATGCCTTATTGCCAGATAAAATACAGTCCATGAGATTTACAGTTACTTTCAAAAAAGCGCTAAAAAACTTTATTTTCTCTGTTGCTAGAAAGGATATCCATGATGCTGTGGAACTAAAATCGATTAATTGTTCAGTATTTGCTTAATATGTTCGTGTTCTTATGTATATTACATGTTATGGTGTAAATTGTAAATTGTATCTTGTAATACTATTGATTGATGTGTGGACTGTGTATAATCTTGTTGTTATTATGTTGAAATTGATTCTATTTGTTTGTTAGGTTTTGTCTTTTTTTTTT